TTAATATAAACAAACTAAATAATAGGTTAAATAACATTAAAAGAAAAATGGTAATTACTGTGGTTAWGATATTTTGACACTCATTAATTTAGGGCTCAGAAGTTTATTCCTTAAAACCATTGAAAATGACTTAAAAATAATAAAAAATTACATTATAAATTAAATAAATTACAAAATGTATATATTGTTTAAATATTGTAATTAAAGGTAGATTTTTTTATGACATAATAATAAAAATTTGGAACTCATCATATGCTATCTACATGAAAAATGTATCTACCACAATATTGTTTGTTGGCGGTGTATGTTATCTACAATTTTCTACCCCGCAATCTGTAAATTGTAGGTGTCATCTGGGCATTATTACATTAAAGAATTATTTTTCATATCTTCAAAAAACTGGTCAAAAAGGTTCTTGGATGCATTGAGTGAATGCCACCACTCATTCCATCAACTGCCATTCCAATAAGTTGGTGGCATCACATGTTTTTATGCCATATTTTACTTTGACAATTTCSATTTACGTCAACATAAGTAAAGAATTCATTTTATTTTCTGATAAGACTGAAATATTTGKCATTCTTTCTTCTGATAACATAAACACTTTTTTATAATAACTTTACCTTTTCCATCACGTTTGCGAGTATTYTTCATATATTCCTTAATAGCCCCTCCAGTARACTGTATTATAAATGTTTATAATTATACAGTTATACCTGCAATATCAACTTCAGTACAATGTTGATATCAACCGAAAGTAGATAGCATACAATGCGAGTTCTAAAACTTWMATTACTTTTTTAGTATCTGTGTTCTATAGCATTTATATGTTTTACGAGGGAAATGTTTTTTCTAACCTTACCTTTACTTCACAAAATACTTAACAACGAAAACTTGTGCCATCGGGGATCAGAAGAAATTTATCTTCCCCAAAATTCCGATGTAAATGCACGCAGGTTAGCACAAGCTGACATTTAAAATTTCTGTATTTTGAAAAAAATTACAAAATTAATTTCAAAGGCTGATCGGCTGATAGAAAATAGTAAAATAAGCGAAGCAAATTGATTTATTATTAAATGTTAGCATTAATATATTATTTGATATACAATAAATATTATAGATATAACTTACAATTGGGTTTTTAATAAATTCTGTATTTTTTATTTCAACGAGTAGAAAATGAGTAAAAATGACTAAGTGTAAAATAATAATTATWTATTAGGATTCACTTGCTATAKAAACACATTTTTAACTAGGAGAGTATAGTCTAAAAAGTTTGAAGAAATGCAAAATGTTTAACTTCTGAGCCCTACTCATTATTATATAATTAAATTGCTCGATATCATTTCCATCAAGTCTATTTTATAGAATATATTGTCTATCAAACTTCATAGAAAATTTAAAATAGGAGTCACCAACCCTTTTTAAAAAGTAAGCCACATTAAAATTTTAAGTATCCGGTTATCTGGTATACTATTTATATCATTAAAAGCAACATAATAATATTGTTGTTTTATTTTTTCTCCATCAGAAAATTGCAAGTTTATTCTGCTAATAAATACTTAATTTAGTATAAAATAAATCTAAATAATTTTTTTTATAAGATTGACTAATTTATCTCTAAAGATTGATTAGTCAATCACGACTGACTGGTTGGCAACTCTTGATATAAAATATATCAAATATACAAAATTGGTARGAGGGTTGGGAATATAAACTTTAAATACTATTTTCTATCATTAAATTTTTAGTTATTATATTTAAGTGACTTTTCATTTCCATTCGATAAAAAAACAAATGTTAAATATGTCTAATGAAAAATGTTTAAACAAGTGCAATGAAACCAATGATTATCACTATCATTTATCAATACAATATTACCATTGTCTTTAAGTCCATTGTTCACCAATTTGGAATGCTATAAAACAATATTTGATTCTGATTAATGATTATTATCAAATATTTTACAATGCAAAGATACTATTAGACACAAGTAGCTTAAGAATCATATTTATTTTTATTTTACTTACAAAGTAATGCATACTAATTTGAAGTTTATTATATACAGTGATATTTTAAGTAGTATACATTGAAGAATCGCTCACCAGTCTTTTATCATTGGAAAAATCATAATCGTATGCATCTGATTCAAGCAATTTTTTTATGGACAATAACTGTCTTTTTGTGTTATCTAAATTATAACTATAATTTTTAGTAGTCATAATAATTTGGCTGGATAAAACGAATGGTATACTGTCCAGCATACTCGTAGGTTTTAAATCAGGAATATTTGGTTTTGCTGGTTGTAAATCATAAAGTAATTGAGGCTTTGTGGGCAAGGTATTCACAGGTTCTGGATTAGCTGCAGTTGGAACAGTTGGTGTGTCTTTTGTATCAACAATCTGTTCCGCTGATTGTTTAGAAACTCCAAACAACCAGGATGCCATGGTCTGAAAATTATAAAAATAATAGTATAACTTTAATATGAATCAAAACCATCACATATATTTAATTTTTTTTTAATACTAATAGGATTTAAGTTAATCAAGTAGTGTACAACAGGTMACATTAAATAATAATTAAATTTATAGTTGATATCAATTGATCATTTTATCATAACTACCTACTTATTTAAAAAAAGTTAAATATTGAAAAAGACTAAATATATAGGAACAGGGGTTGTAAATTTTGTTACATTATGATACTTTAAAGAAATTTAAATAGTGTATTATAATCTAATATATAACATAAAAATACTAAAAGTGATTTATCATAGCTTGTCAGTGGCAGCTATTGTTAAAAATATAAGTGTAGCRAAACATAAAAAATAACCATCTACCCACAACAATATTTATCCATATAACATCCAATCTACTGAATAGTTTAATCAACATGTTATCACTATAGACGATTTAAGACCATATTATCTTAAATCCTGCAATAGACTTAGATATAAATGTCGGTATAGTAGTATCCTATAGTTATCCAAAAACTGTACACCCAACATTGTTTTTAATTGCATTAATAATAAATGACACATCTGTCAACTATAATCTATAKTCTATATTAACATAGTTACTATTATCTTATTAAAATATTCCAAAGTATTATTCGCATACAAAAAATTATATAGACAACCCACCCTGCCAACCTCTTATTAAAGGTGTATCAAGTGTTGCACCTCTACTCTAGGACAGTCATCACTGTAGCTTGTATTGTGATGAAGGTTCATAATATATTTTATAATGCATAAGAGTAATTACTTTGATAATTAAGGTGTTGACATAATTTTAACTTTAAAGACCAATTTTTAAGCACAATATGTTTTGCTTAATAAATCATAGAAATACACAAGTTTGGTAAATAAAGCAACATCTAGGTGGTAAGTATATTGTASACAAAATATGTTAGTACTTTAGGCACTTGSTTCAATAGAAAATAATAGTTGATACATTCAATTATAATATTGTACATGTGATATATACAAACTGTCAGTAGTAAATATCTCAGAAACGTCCATTATTTTGATAGGTTCATAAATGATATGGTTGTTTAACTTACTTATAAAGGTGTAGTAGCGTACGGGTACTT